GTTAGATAATTTACCGGACGACTGAAAAGATTTCGGGTAACAAGCAGGTGTTCCAAGAATTATGAAAGTAGCAGTAATTCAGAATTTTTAAGGTCAGGGTTGGGGATTATTAGTATAATTATTCCGTTCTAATCTAAATAGATTCCGAACCTATTATGACTCTATTTCCACTTACATTATAATTTTATTATATATAAAAATTGACTATTATAAGTAGTATAACAAATCATATAACTAATAATAAAAAATATTTACAGTATAAAGCTGTGATGGTTTAAAATTTATATTTGTCTATATACTAGAAAACGAAAAAAACGAAAGCCGGTATAAGTCCGAAATTATTATGATATACAAATTACACAAACACGCAATGAAAGTTCAAAGTTGCATTATTGATATTTATATTAATAATGCATCAAAAAAAAACCGAAATTCGGGGAGTGAATGAACAAACAAATATTACAAATTACAGTTTAAAGTTCTTCATTTCTCTCCGGACTAGTCATCAAATGGTTAGTTTTTTTTTTTTCTTTTGTATCTTTGTTATAATAATTCTGCATAGTTCTGCATAATACCGGCCCGTTTCCGGAAAATTTTGGCTATGGGTTGAAGTTGTTAATACAAAAAAAAGAGTTGCATAATTATGTAACATTCTAAAGAATCGGATAAATATTACGAATTAGCAATAGTTTAAATTAAACCTGAATAAAGTTATAACGAGTTGGTATCTTGTTAAAAATTTAATGAAGGAGTAGTAAATGAAAATTCACCTGAATATCATAAATTCTTCGAAAGCTTGTTAGTTAAGCCACACGCATACCACATATATTTTAACTATTTAAGTAGAAAGAAAATCAAAATAAGAATTGCCATTTTAAAAATAATGGTCAATGATATGAAGAAATTCAATAATTAACTGTGGGGTTAAGCAAATATTGTCGGACAAAGATGGTAAACAAAAGCCAACACGGGTAAACATTGTACAGTAAAAAAAACCAATTATTTGAAACGTTGATTTGTCGATTTTCAAATGTCAAAAACACACATGTGCTTATTGCGTCAAAAATCCGAACTAAACCAAAATAAAAAAGATCAACAAATATAGAAGTATGAGGCGTTTAACGTAGGGGAATCGGATACAGTTTTACAATCGTTTACACAGCGGAGTCGTGCGATAACCGAGTTTAGCAAGTCGATTACTCTTGACCCGGTATTGTTTGTTAACGGTGTAATACTAAATTCGAATACCAGATGGTAAATGGTTATTCAAAGATCCCAAACTTGGAAGGAAAAAATGCACAAAGTAATAATGAGAAATCATATAGATATCTTAGCAGTAAAAGAAATGAATATTCTAAAATACGCTAATAAAGTTTTTTGGATATTTTTAGCACATGTTCTTTGTGGGATATCCTTAACCTTGTTGGTTTACAAAGAAGGTCGTATTGGATGGAATGTTGATGTATGATTACGAACATCTGTATCGCATATCATCGCGTGGTCTGCTGGATACCCGATATAAATTTCATATTGATTATATTGATTGAATGCTAATAATCACCAGACGCGTTTTCAATTCCTTAAAGATAAAATCAAAGATGGAAAGATTTGAAATTTTCCATTTTTTTAGAGTGCAACGCGTAGAGAAATTGGAACAGAATTAAGAATTATCAAAATGAAAGTATCAAAGTGAAGTGACAAAGTGTGATTCATCCTTGTAAAATGATCCGTGCTGTTAACGTACTTATGAATTTATCTTTATTGATGACAAAAAAATAAATTTAATAATCAAGAATTGCGATTTAATTATTACGCCATATTTACGGTACAAGGCGGAGACCCTGCACTATCTCCACATCTTCTTATCAACCATCAAGAATAATGGAAGCTGCAGTCATTCATCCAGGTTCATCGTAACGTGTCTCATGCTTTAAAACGATAAATATATGATTTTATTGGCTCACTCTATATTTTTTTTTTTTATCAAAGACGTATATACAATATAACTATATTAGGTAAGAATGTGTTGCTTCTTGAAGTAAAATTCATCTGACGAACATGCGAATTTGGATAAAAAAGTATCATTTTCACGAGATAACAACACAAAATAAACAAGTAATCCATTTATTATTGTATCGCGAATCTAATTTCGATAATAAAGTATATTATCTAAAAAAAACTTGTTGGTTACAAGAAACATAAGCTTATGATGACTTCAATGTTTAATAACACGATTCCCATTATTTCTCTTCCCCGCTCGCCATGCTAATGTATTCTGAATTGCACGTTGTTACATATCTTTGCCACGCCGTTAAAAATTGAATTGAGCGGTTGTCATGGGATTGGTGTTTGAAATCTTAACTTTTAAGTTCATACCTGATCATCAACCGGTCATCCATCTGATTATTTTCAGGTGATACGCACAGTTATACCACAAAGTAACAAATACTCCTCAATTTCAATATACGTAATCTTCTTTATCTGCTTTTGTGGCTGCAATTTGCTTGCTTGTGTTATTTCGAAAGTCACTAACTTTTTTTTCCTTTTCCTTCCTCTTTTCTGTCCTTTTTTGCCTCATCATTCTATATATTTGTTAGTCCTAAACTTTAAAGTTTAGTTAGTGCCATGTTGCATGTGTATTTTTAACTCATCTTTTTGATGAGGTCATCTATTTCCAACGTTAAGACAATTGAGATTTTTATTGTACGCAAAAAAAAATTTTTTTTATATATGAAAAACATGTGGTTAACATTCATCAGTCCCTGAATTTTTTGTTATATTAAAGCAAAAAAAAAAAAAAAAAAAAGCGAAAAAAAAAAAAAATAGAAAAAAAAAATCTAAAAGTGTTAATATTAAAATCTTCGGAAACACGATGGTAAACCATTTCCTAATTAAATAGAAATTCACGCCTCTTTTACCGAATCAAGAATTCCCTAACACAACGCTGCAAAGCAGGTATTTGATAATTCAAATCCCGGGTCTGAATTCTTTTTAACCCTTCTTCAACCTTTTGACAATTTATCTTCTGGCCTGAAAGGACAAACTTTACGATAAAATATATAAAAATAAACAATATTATTTGCATTAAAATTAAATCAACTTTCCTTCTGAAGAAGGGTTCCCTGCAAGCTGTTGGTGCTTTTGAAAAAAAAAAACCCCCCACAAAAAAAAAACTTTTTTTCGCTGAGCGAGAATAATTTTTTTTCCTTTATCCTTTATAATAATATAACGAATTTTATAAACTTACATACTAAACGTAAACTTCAACCTAATAATGTCGTCTGAACTCGTCATCACGCCGGAAAAAGAAACAACAATGCCAGCAGAAAGCATTGTGGATGGAAATGATTTGTCCAACACGGCTCAAGAAGACTTTCTTTCCACTACTGTTGACAAGATTAAACAGGAACAGGACGATATCTTGGAAACTCCTCCTTCTCCTGGTTCGTTACAAAACCCTCCACCACCTTATTCACAATGGGATGAACTCAGCTTAGAACAGTTATTAGAAAAGGGTAAAGAGCTCATCGGACATACTGAGTATTTGGCTAATGGTGGAGGTGAACAAAAAGAACAAAAGGACGGTAAAGTGCTTGACAAGGTAAGAAGCCCCTCCCGAGTACGTGCCAACAATTTTCATACTTTGATGGCATTCTATTTTATTCTCACTTGCTAAATATTTCGATGATCTCAAAACTTTTCGTCTCGAAATTTTTAAGCAGACAAATGACGTAATGCGTCTGAAATTTATTTTATAAGTAATAAAAAAAAAAAAAAACATCATTATTAACTCATAAAACTTAATCTATCTATTTTAGATGACCCAATTAGAATCTCTAGTATCATCATTGCAACATATCCTGAACGATCAAACATTTGCTATGCATGACTTGAGATCACAATTATCAGAGTTAGTACTTTATATTTTCTTTGTATTAAATAATATACCCGCCATAATAATAATAATAATAATAATAATGTGATAATAATGATTATTATTAATTAATAATTGTATTAGCATTCAAATTGTTCTTAAAAAAATGCAAGACAAGCAAGAAACGATAACTAATGAGGAAGTAATGAAACAAGTGGCTACTATGAAGGTAATTATAATTTTTAGATAAAAATATATATTAATTATAATTATATAATTATAAAAATTGATCTCACACTAATCTATTTATTCTTAAGGCTCTTACTGAGAATATTCTTACATCAAATGAAGTTAAACGACAACTTGATGCTGGTGTCGCTGCTGCTGCGGCAGTAGCTGCGAGCGCTGCAGAAACAACATATGGTGCTGAAGAAGTTATATCCGTTTCTCAACTTCCAACCGAGAGAAACAATTTAGTTCCTATCACTCCTTCATCAGAAATTTTGAATGCGTCACCTACCACTGTTCAAACTACTCCATCATCTCGTCAAACTTCTCGAGTACCGTCTCGAGCCCCATCTCGAGCTCCATCTCGCGTTCCATCCCGAACTACTTCCCGAGCTCCATCAAGAGCACCATCATCTTCTAGACCAGTATCACGCGCGGTATCGCCGGCTCATACCCCCTCGTTGTCTAGATCATCATCTAGATATAAACTTGATCTTCCGACATCAGAACATAAGAATGATATTCCAAAAATAGAAGAAGGAAGTGATGAAGATGAAGAACTTGAAATTAATGATCCCTCATTTAATAAGATGCGTGATTTATTAAATTTCATGATAAATGAAGCACAAGAAGCCGTGGAAAAACCTGTTAAAGGTCGTGACAAGAAGAAACGTGCTCCTTCAACTACAAGTCAACAATCATTAGATTTTGGGGATATTAATAATATGCTCGATGAACTTGAAGAAGATGATGAATACGAATATGAAGAATCTGATGATGATGATGATGATAAGATAAGCGAAACTAGAAATGATGATGAAGATGATGATGAACATCGAGGCAGAGGCCTTAAAAGAGAAAAGGCTCATAAACGACAAAAAAGTGTACATGAAGAAAGATTTGAACTAGGAATGATGGAATTTAATAAGAGTATCGCAGATTTTAACGATCTTGTTGATGCAATGACTACAGATAATGTGCAAGAAGAAGAATATGATCCTTGCATACAATATGTAGATTCAACGAGAACGCTCATAGGAAGCCCAAGTGAAAATCTTGCAGATCTTGATGATTTCTCACAACAGTGCCGTCTTCTTACACGTGCACTTATCCTTCCATTCTTGCATGCGACTCACTCTTTCATGTGTGAATCACTTAAGACTACTAACACAAATTCACCAAGAAGCATGACAAGTACTACTAGGACCTTTATGAATCTCATGTATTGGACATTCTTGTTCACTCTTGGTTCATTGGTATTAGATGCATGGTTATGTGAAGTTGCAGGAAGACAAGTTATTCGAATGGTTGATTTATTAAAACCAGAACCATTTGGTTTTCTTAATAATAATTATAATAATTACGAACAAGTTACCAGTGATCAGCAAGATGGAGGGTTCGGGGTTTTGGGTGACGGTAAAAAAAAAAACGTCAAATTTCGAACGGGCCCTAAAATGAAGGCCGTTACGTGGAAAGGGGTAGAGACGGGTGTTGTAGGTAGTGGAAAGAGGTGGTTGAGGGATGGAATGATGAATTTGAGACGAAAAAGTAGGCGTTTGTTAACGAGTGGTAGATGGAATAGATGGGAAATATTTAGTAGGACGACGGTGGGACGTTTTGAAGAAGAGTGTAGTGATGATAGTGAAGAATGGGAGATTGTAGACTTTGATAGTAGCGATGGCGAGGATAGCGAAACTGAAGAGGATGAAATTGAAGAAGATCCAGCAATTGTTCTAAGACGTAGGATAACTAATGAACGATCTCGGCGTGCCGGACACGTGAATAGTATGATAATTGATAAAGACTATGCAAAAAAGGAAATAATAAATGATTTGATCGAAACAGACGTGTCCACAGACCAATCAAGTGATTCACAAGAAAAACTAGATCCTTTATTAGAAAAAATGACAGATATTACATTTTCAGAAAGTTTAGAAGATGTTGATTTAAATATACCCGGTTCATTTCCTTCACAATTCAGATGGACGCCACCACCATCACCAATTGTCGATGTAATAGAAGTAGCAGAAAATGTAAGACGAGTAACAAGTGTTGTACTACGTCGACCAAAACGTAATGGACCTTTTGGTGGTAGTGGTTCGTTTTGGATAATGAAAACACATAAAATAAAAACACGGAGCATAACTAGTAAAGATGTTACTTCTGCTGTTCTTAAAAGTTCAAGTTCTAAATCTAGCCCAATATCAAAGAAAAAGAGCTCAAAATCACTACCCAAAAGGACATGGATACGACGGAATAGCATATAGACATAGATCTTATAATGATTACATAAACAATTGGAACATTCGGTATGGCGTTATTAGTCGCCTCGGAGGGTATTATTCTTGTATATTAAATTTTTTTTTTAAGGACACTTAGACTTTTCTTTTTTGTATTTAGTTTTTTTTGCTCTTAAAATGAACTTTTTTCTACAATACTGGATCTTTGAATTTTTATTCTTTTGTGAACAATTTGTCCTTCTCCGTTCCGCTTTCTCTCCTTCGTTGTTATCAAAGTCTCGGTCTCACATTCATCGTTTTTTTTTTTTACATATACATTTTTTTTTTCATTTTTCATTTATTTATTATTTGCAATCTTCGAATGATATAACTATCTTTTCTTTTTTCTTTCTTTAAACATACTTTAAATATGAGGCACTACAAACATTTTTTTTTTGGCTTTGTCAGATAAAAAATCTTCTAAAATTTGTAAATCGTTCGATTTTATGCAAGGAATAAAAATTCTACGGTTTTGTAGTCTGCTGTAATTTTGATGTTAAATTTTTTGTTAATAACTTTACGCGACTTTGATGTAGTTACGCGTTTGATCATTTTCATTGCTTTGACATGCACGCCAACGACATTTTAATAATGATAAATAACACCATTAATGTATATTACGTACGTACTGAAGTACGTATGAACGTGCGTGCGTACGTTGTATCAAAAGATCTCAATGTGTTTTCCCGCCACGCCAAAATTCTAAAACTAGAAATCACAATTTTAGAAAAATCGGCGTTTGTGAATATCGAGCAAAAAGTAGGTCGGTAAGCGCCGTTCGCATACTAAAAGAAAACATTAAACTCATTTTAGAATTTTTTTAAGGTTACATTTTTATGCGGTATTCCACTTTTTGACTTTCAAATGATATTGAAAAAAAAATCTCCAAAGATGAAATGATTGAAATGATCTTTTAAACTATCGTGAGTTGCACTGCTGATATCTATTCTTGGTTCTTTATCATTCAGAATTGGAATAACGTTTTTATTACTCGTTAATCAGCGTACATATACATACATTAATATATTATTGGCAAAATCGGTTTTGTATCTCTTGATAAAGACTATTTAGGTATCATTTGGCTTGGGTATTAAAATGTTTTGATTTATTATTCAAAAAGGTTTATTACACATGTCAGCAAACTTATCATACGTAAAAGTAAAATACTTTCTTTAAATGATGTATTTTTTATGATCACAATATCATGAATTTTTTTAAATGTATAACTTACATAATATGAATTATCGATAAACAAGTTAATTACTAAGTATATCATTTAATCATTACTATATTCTTCGTTTATTATTATGGTTATATTTCAACTACGTATTAAAAGTATCGGAAATAATTGACTAAGAGAACGAGGCAGCCTTTTATCTCAAATTATACAGATTGTACGTAACATTTATGTGACTTGTCAATTTAACAGTTTTTGTTAAATATAATTTTTATTATGATCATCTTCCGTTTTGCTCCGGACAATGAGTAACATTTTGTATTTATAAATCCAAATCTTTTTGTTTATTGAAATAACCTAACTTGATTTTATTGTGGGTACCGATAACGTACGTACATTTTACCTATTGTTAACTTTTGAAAAAAAAATCAAATTGACGTAAATAGTTACTAGGTAATCTATTAAAATAACTATTGTATATACAAATTGTGGTTGATTGTAATAATGGTTGCATAAATCGGATAAATGTAGTTAGTTTATAGTATTTAAGTTACAAATATACAGTGTATTTCTTTTAAATTACTATATATTATATACATATATATATATTATATATATACAGTATTGTAGTGTATACGTATACGTATTATTTAATTTTATACTATATATAGTATGTTGTATACTGTATATATTTTTTATTATATATATAGTAATTTTATAAATAAAAAATAATTTATATATATATACATACAGTATACTGTATATATGTATATATTATATATATATATATACTGTATATATTGTTATATTAGCGGTATATATATTAGTATTTTTTAAATTTTTATTACGTAACTTTGTGTAACTTCTAATTGTAGTACAAATCTGATTCCACCAATGGAATCCTTGATATCAATTTCCTTAGTGTAGTTTTT